CAATGAACCATCTTTTTATTATATTTACATGGGTAATTACAATGATTTCATGTCCATGTCTCTAAGGAATCTCTTTAATGATGCAAGTCTACAATGTTACCTGTTGCTTCCATTCTCACTAACCGGTTTAAAGGCTATTCCATAATTTGATGTCTGGATTTTTTTAAATATGTTTTTACTCATTCTTTTTAATGACCTAATGGACTGGTTCAGACATCCCCAGTACAAGCTGTCTTTTATTGTCTTATGCCAGAGAGAAAACCTACTGTTACTGTGGCTGCTGTCGTTATTAGATTACATAGCATAAAAATCACTGTCCACTGAGGAAGATCATGTTGTCAGCACTGTCTGCCAAAGAGACACTGAACAATTTAGGTCCTATCTCCTACTGTGCTGTACTCTGGGAAGGCATTCAAGGAAAATAAACTGACCATAGCTTGCTGTCAGGCTTAAGAATGTGTTCTGTAAAATATGCCATGAATAATTTTCTTCTTCACCATTTCTTTACAACTCTAAGTCTCCCAGGGAGAGATGTGCATAATTTGACAGTATTTTGCTACTGCAAAGTAGGAATTTTAACTCTATTGTCAAATTGTGTGCATGAATATCTGTTAACGTATCCCTTTTTTTAAGTAAGTATAGAAAAACTCTGAGTCCCTAGTGAAGGAAAAAAGTTAGTTAATACAGACCAAAGCCTTTCCTGTACATAACATCTACTATCCACTGCTATTTGCAACATATATTGTTTTCTAACCTTGTTCAATTAAGGAGTATAGACCTGTATTTGGACATGATAAAGGTGCTAATCTTGAAAAAAAGGTACATGTGCATTTCATTTTATTCATACAGCAGGAGCCAAGCCATTAGTGAGCCTTCTGGTATCCTATTAAGTCATAATGTAATGAGAAATATATCTCAAACTATTTTTAAATATACACATCTCTAAGGAAGGTACAATTTTTAGTTTTCTTTTTATAGTTGCTGCTGATGTTGCTTATAACATTTAAATGTTTATAACATTTTTACAGTGTGGACTGGCTTTTAATGTACTTGGATTGAATCTCACAGTGCATTTCAGGCTGAAGCTTTTTCAGTCTTTAGATTCCTGAGAGAATTTTTTCAAGGGGCAAGTGTCATTGCAAGGTAGATTTGATGCAGCAATTGGAAACATGACACTGCTGTCCTGTGGGAATTCTTTTTCATCTTTATTCCACGTTGTGTCACTTTCCCACTTCCCAATTTCAGTTAGAATGCAGCTCAAAGAGGAAAAATCTCTGTATGTACAGATTCCTAACAGGCAAAGAACTTGGGGTGCATTCAGTTCCTTAATAGTATGAACAGATTTGCATGGAAGTGGTTTTGATTTTGATCAAATACTACTTATGGTTGTTTTCTTGCTTTTTCAGCATAGCATAATTCATACTCCCTTTAACACATGCACAGAGATGTTTATACAGCATTCCAGAATTCATATTAGTGAGGTAAAATGCAATCTCGTAGTCAAGGGAGGGCAGGAAATAGGGAAAATAATAATATGATCCCTCTTGCATTGACAATATTTGGTGGCAGCAGCAAAATTTTTTTACCTTAAACATAGGATTTAAAGTCCTCTCTCCATGGCAGATCACTAAAGAGGCAACTTGAGTCATTCAACAGTATGTATAAAATCAATTTAATAGCAGTGGTATAGAATGGTAAGGAAGTGAGAAGAGATTTTCAGGCTAGTAGGTTAAGGGAATGAGTAGTTGAGAAAAATTGAGAGAAAACTTTTTTTTTGTTATTCCCCCACCCTCTGCTTCCTAGCCTCCTAATAGAGCTTGCAACTCCTTCACTGATCTGAATTTGAAGGGCTAATTCAAAACTGTACCTCAGGGTTGTCCTCTTTTCCCTTCTGTTCCTGACTGCAGCTTGTTCAGGTATCTGAAGCTCCCATGCTGCTTCTGTGTGGGAGAGAGGGAGAGAGGGGGTGGATGACAATGAAGACAAGAAAGAGGAAGGGGTTGTATGAGTGAGAATTCATAAATGTAAAAAGGTAGTGACTGCTGCTCTAGGAAAAGGTTTTCTTCTCTCATCACAATCCCAGCTATAGCATGGTCTGGGGCAGTAAACGTACCTGTTTGAAACCAATGGACAAATGCAATGTGATTCTGACTTTCAAAACTCTTGACAAACTGGTAAACAGACAAGCAAACAAGAGGGAAATCTCCCTGTTGTGTCTTTCCCACCAAATATTTGCAGAATATATGCAGAAAAAAGAGGGGCACAAGAGGGAGAAGGATTTTTTTTATTGTCGTCCTTTCTCTTCTTTAGCATAAAACTCAACATCGAAGAACTTGGAAAAGTCTTTGCAGTGTGTAAACATTTGACGAGGAGAGAAAGAATTATTTTTAACAGTAAGGTTCTACAGTTATAACCACCTGGCATCATCACTTGTTTAGTACATGACATACAGCAAGACCTGCTAACAGGTAAATAGCTCCTGGGAAAGGAGGGGGAAGCAAGAGGGAGCAGGAGGAAATCAATGAACAGACATCTTTGTGGTGACAATCTCATCATATGAGCTGGAAAATGGAAGCTTTGAAATGGTCTTTGCACCTTGAGTCATCAATAATTTTCAAGCATTATCCTTAATAAAAGATGTGGGCCTGATGGATGGTGATGGAGTGCTGATTTTAAGTCTCCTCTTGGCTAAATTGCTTGTTGGCACTGGTATAAAAAAAAAAAAAAAGAAATTAAATGTCCTCTGCACCCCCACTCCATTTTTTTTAACCAGCAAGTATTGTAGTATGAAGCTTTTAAATATTTTATATCTAGAGTGCCTTTTTCATTAAGAGTACACTTTTATTTCTTGACATTGAGAAAATGGATCAGGATCATCACTTTAAAAAATTTTGTTTAAATGCAGATTTTGAATGGTTGCCAGGACTGGATAAAGAATCCCTGCAGAACAAACACTATAAAAATCAATAGTGTTCTTTCCAGGGAGGTATATTTATCTGGTCATGTCTCCTTGCATTTCACTGTAGTACTTTTTGTGGTTTTAAGCCTTTTTTCTTTCATAAAAGCAATGCCTTGGACCTGGTTAAACTAAAAAGAGCTGTTACACTCCATGGGTCTCAAATAAATAATGGATCATCATAATTAAACAGACACTTCTTAAAGATATTTCTTATTTCTCATTTTCACTATTACAATGAGGAATTCCAAATTACCTTTAAATCTGTTCTTTAACATGTTATTGGTTTATATATATATATACTTGTATATATATATATATATATAAGTATATATGAATAGAACAACTTGTCCACAACCTCAGATTTCTCTATATTTCCTTGATTCTCCTGTTGGTTTTTTGAGTGACAGAGAACTAGCTAAAATAAAGAATTGATTTTGGATGAGAGGCTTGATGAAGGGTTGTTTTCTACCTGTGACTCCTGGACTGATTTCTGGATCCAACCAGATCTAATCTTTTTCTGCTCCTTGTGACTGTCAGTTCAGTCCTTTCAGCTGAGATGCTGTTCTGAAGACTTGTTAACTTGTTTAAGATGGAAAGACCTACAGTTCAAGCATTTTAAACTAGCTCAACTCATTTTAAATGGAGTGGGTTAATAAACATGTATTCAAGTTCTCAGGAGGTAGGAGGACAGTGAAGAGCAAGGGGCTGCATAGGAGTAACTACTCAACTTGGTATATCTGTAGCGAAAAGACATCAAAAAGTTCTTAAAAAATTTATACCCATGGACTGTACACATTGATGTTTCCAAAATTTCAAACCTCGTGTCCAAGGTATGTATAAATGTCAGAAAGAAAAAAAAAAAAAAAAAAAGCAATGCAAATTCTGTATGAAATGGAAACAAAGAAAAAAAAGTCTCATTCTGCATTGGTTCAGCAAATCCATAGTTAGATAAACAGACTTCTCTTCACAACATGTCACATAAGAGACTCCTTACATGCAAGTAAAGACTTTGCAACAGTGACCTCCTAATCTTCTGACCACTGCACAGTCTTTGCAGAGAGGAAAGAAGGAGTGGTTTTGTGACAGAGGATGTACTGGATCAAGTGTTCCTGGGGTGTTCTTTAATTCTTGAGTAAGTGAAGAACAAAATACACAAGTTGTAATTTCCATAATAGCAGTTTGTTGTCCAAATGAAAAAGTTGCAATGCCAGAGATAAATACAGTAGAGTTCCTAAGCTACTACTAAGACATCCTGTCATGCAACTTACAGTGCTCTGTTGGGTTTTATAAATGAAGTACCTTTGCCAGCTCAGATGCAGCCTGGAAGTTTTGCCTTTCACGAAATTTTGCCAAAACACTTTGAAGTGCTGCAAGTATTTTCTGTATCAAATGGTGACATATTTTAAAGTCAATGACTGAATTAATCTGTCTTCTTTTTTTTTTTTTTCAGTTCTCATCAAGTAAATGCAAACTGTTGGATGATTCTTAAGCATTAGAAATTTGGGTTCAAAGTGATATTGGCAATATCAAATGTTAGAAAAGATGATAGGCTTTATGATTTTTGTCATTAATCATATTTCCACTCCTATTTTGTCCTTTAGGCTTAGTCAAATACTTTTATACGTGGGATCCAGATAGTAAAAGAAAAGGTTTGAATAAATTTGAGCATTCTGATTGTGAATGTTATTTCGGTCAGATTAGATTGCCAGAGCATGACAGCAATGCCATTAGTTTATTATGTTTTGAAGTCCTTCCCAGATGCATTTCAGTTATTTTGCTTTGTTTGTTTCTCCTTTCCTCTTTTTTTTTTTTCTTTTCCAATTCTATGCTTCCTGGAAACATTCTTTGTTTTGGGTTGGATAAAATTCATGCTGCATTGTGACCAGTGTCCCTCTGAGGCTTTGTGCAAACGACTAAATGTTTACAGCCCCTAGACAAAACCAAAAGTAAAGGGATGCAGAGCTATCACATGAAAGGGTAGCAAGCCAGAACTTGGAGGGCTCTATGACTTCAGAGCAAATTCTGCTGCAGCATATCAACCCACAACCAGAGGTAGATACAGATTGTGGTCCATAATTTACAGCAAAATGCCCCTTTTGTCCATTTAATCCTAAATTATATATCTCCTAATACATACTATAAAGTACATTAAAATAAAATGATGACAGACTGAACAGTGAATGCCTCCTTCAGGCATGAGAGAAAGAAATGTCTCAGGGACAAGGTAAGTTAAAGAGCTCCTGACACCTCTGCTATGTGAATGTTACTCCTTATTGGATAGGCAGCAGACTGGAGCAATGAACCAACATTAAGAATAACCTGAGTTATTCTTAACAAAGACTGGTTCGGTAGACATGTTTATTTTGTAGATGCCCCGAAGGTGTGGTGGCACAGCCAAGGCAAAGTAATGAACAGGTGCTCTGACTGAAACTGAAGTGACCTAAAGAATTAGGGACCAAATAGAAACTAAAAAATGTCCAGTATGTAACAGGTTTTTTTCCCACTGTTTCCCACTGCTTAATGTCTCTGGTGGCAAGTACAATCTTTTGCTAATGCTGAGCTGTGAAGCTACATTAGCAAGGAAAATTAAAGTTTCTGACTTGCTTAGATGAACTGGAGTTGGATTCCAACTTGAACACACTAAGCAAATGAATATTCAAGTCTAGTCAAAATAAATTCCAGAGACCTTTGTTTTCTTGTTGAACCTTTCATATTTTTAGAGATACTTAAACCTGAATATGCTAGTCATTTACATGTCAGTCTTTTGAAGAATAATTTTCACTAGCCAAGATAATATTTCTGCTTATAAAAGGACCTGCTTACATATCAATGACTTCAGAGAGATGCAAGTATGTAAGAAAACAATACAGCTCATACTTGAATAGTCTCTTTTTCTCAAGTGAGAAATTCAATTAATTAGTGTTAGATATGTTCACGAATACAATTAGACATGTTTCTAAATTTTTAATGAATAAGTTAATTGTTCTTTAATATAGGAAAATGATGCATTGCTGAAAATCATCCCTTGAATACTTTGAAGATTTGTATTTTAGCGTTTCATAATACCAGAGCATCCTGAACATTGAATATGGTTTATACAGGATTTTTCCCTTTCTTACCAGAAAGTCTTTATGTTAATTTGAAAAAAAAAATAAAAAATCCAATGCTAGAATGATCTTCCTATCAAATCATTCATAAACAAAAAGAATAAAATTATCTTTTTTTTTTTCAAAGGACAGTAAAATTTAGGAAAAAAAATCATACTTTCTGCTTTTGAAAATACGGAATGTCTGAGCAAAAGCTACTTTATGTTATACTCAAAGCCATGAAGATGACGTACAAGGTAAACAATTGTTGCGGTCCCAAAGGGAAAAAGGGGTTTGCCACTCTCAGGATGTGTGTGGGAAATGGCACTTTATTAAGGGAGTTCTGGCTTTATATAGAGCAGAGATGGAAACTGCCAGAAGGGAAGGTGGGACTAGGGAGGAGCATGCAAATAATGACCATAAAAGGAAGGTGTGGGTTGGCATTACCCATAAATGGGATCATAACCATAAAAGGAATTGCTGCAATGCAGCAAGCAGGATCCAATCAGGAACAGGGGTTGTAAGGGATACAGAACTGAGGGATTTTTCATAAAAAACATTTTGGGGTACCAGCAAAGGTAAATAACAATAAATCCTGAAGCGCAGGGGGGTCGAACATCTCAGTAACTTCAAATGGGGCTTTCATTATCAGGGGTGCCACAGATCTCCTGCAGATCTCCTGTTCTCTCTTCCACTTCTCGTAGTTTTCTTCATCCACAACCCCGACAAACAATAACTCTTATTTGCCTTATTTTATATTAAGGCACACAATATGGATTTCAACATTAAAACCAACAACTGTATTGTTGATGTTTTATTGTGAAACAGTGTGTTTATAGCCGCATGAAGTTCAATGATATAATTTGAACTTCATTGAATACTTGCTGTCTTGTAATTACTTATTTTTTTCATCAAATAAAACAAAAATAATCCCTCTAAGTTCCAGTGCTTTTAAAATTATCAAATCAATGAAACATTTTTAACGAGATGCTTGTTCTTACAGATTAAGATTTACGTATTTCAGCACTAGCTCTAGAAAGAAAAGCTAGCCTGTAGTTCAGTATGTATATTTTTATGCTCATTTATAATCATGCGGAAACATCAGCCTGCAAAACAGTTTTCTTTAAGGTTTTAGTCAAGCAACCAAAACCCATACCTTTTTCTCTATGTTTTTCTCCAGAAAACACACCAACCAAAAAATGAAAGAAAACACATGCAAGTAATCCATTGATTTTTGGAAACATTATTTTTAGTAACACAGAAACAAAAAGTGTGCAAGTAGTCCATTTTTTTTCTTCTGAGGAGACAGGAGGGAACTTTCAAAAACATTATTTCTTTTGATAGGATACGTCAACTATTCTAAAATGGACATTTCTACACATGCATGTGGGTTTTAGATATGTATTATTTTACTAATACTATCATACCTATTGTTAAGAAGGAACTAGACAGCTCAAAAGTGCTAAAGAAATAATTTTGAAGTGTATAAGACTTCAGTTAAATGTAATGAAAGAATAAATTAAAAATATCAAGATAGATCAATATAATTGAAAATGCAAATAAGCAAGCAGTGAATCTGTCAACTTCTCTTTGTATACTATAAGACTGCAGATGAACATAAAACACATCTAAATTAAGAGAATAGTAGCTGATTTACACCTGTGGCTGCACTTCACAATTCATAACAGTAAAGTTTACTGCTTCAGATAATAAATTAATTGGGAGCTGGGATCAAGAGGAAATAACTGTCCATGGAATATAACATTTAAAAGCATTATGTGGAGGTTATGCTTTGTGGTGTTACATACAAGAAATACTGTACTTGATTAGGTAGCCCACTTTTTTGCTACAGTCTAGAAATCCCAGTGGTCTTGGTAATGGTTACCACAGCCATGATGCTTAGCACCACTATTAGAAAAAGAGTGATAATGGCTTCTTTACTCTCCTTTCTCTACTCTGCCCCTCTGACTCATAAACTGTGGAAAAGTATTGTGACCATTGAAGAAACTTAATGCAGTAATTAAACCAGTAGCTTTTTTGGCTCCTAGAATCACTTAGCGTTTTGTGTAGGCATCTATGACTCCTGGTTTTCTTTTTCTTTTTTTCCTTTCACTGAAGTTGTTTCATGGTAAGTAAAGTGCCTTCTAAGGTCTCTACTGAAAGATATTCCTGCTTTAGAATACAGCTTTCCCATCTTTCTCAAAAACAAAGGACAAAAAGTCTTTGAACTCTTAAGAGACCGATGTATATGCTTACTCTGTAAGTGATGTGAATATTAATTAGGTGAAAAAATTTGAACCAATCATCTTCCAGTTGAAAGAGGAACCTAAGAAATATCTCTCATGAGAAATTAGGAGGCCATTGAAAAACAGGCTAATACATATAGCACTCAGAATCAACAAATGAGTAAGACAAAAAATCTATCTAGAAAATCAGAAATCCAAACTACAGTCTCCCAACAGCTGCATCTTGCTGTAGTCTCAGATATCAAAACTATCATCGTTTAAACAACTGCCACTCCTCAGTGTCCTTCAGTTTATACTAAAGATGCAGGCATTGAAGGCTGAAACTGGGAAAACAGAAATTAAGACCTTTAAATGTCAGACTTTTGGGTTTGGAATACTTTACTCTTCTGGTCTCAGTTACTCTACAATTTTTTGTTAGTTTTTGTTAAGCTTCTGCACCCTGGTATAACCCTGTTAGGCAGACCATGGTTATGAGGATACTCATATATCTGTCTGGGATACAGGTTTCTGGTCATTTCTAACACAGGATAAAGTTGATGAGAACCGCAGTCCCAATCAAAATTTGAAATCACTACTATTTTGTCATTTGAATATAGATTTATTTAGACATTTCTATTGCAAAAAAAAAAAGACTTTTTGTAAAAAGAAAAAAAAAAGAAAAAGAAATAATAAAATGGAGGGAGGACTCCCTTATGACAGGCTTTTCAAAGAAAGAAAATCTTGAAAGCATCTCTGACAGCTCCAGTAATAATCCTAACTCTGCCAGCATAGTAGAGATGAATCCTTGTGTTCTCACCAAGAGTTTCTTTTCAGAAATGCTGTCATGGGAATTGGCATTGTTAAACTGCAGGTGTTGTGGTGGCACTTTTTCTCCTCTAACTGTCACAGTTCATCCTTATCTAAAAGCAAACTCAATGGTTCTGGACAATTACTAAAGCTGAAGAGATACTGCTAATCTATGCTTTCTGTGTGTGGGAGTCTAACCTGAGCTCAAGCTCAGTTATATACACTGGAAAAGCAGTGAATGTTTCTGAAACAAATGCTTTGTGAGTTTGTTTACCGTTACCCTCTGAGGTCATGTTTGTGATTCATGACTTTGAAAGCTAAGGAAACCCAGGCTTGTTTGCATGCCATAAATTAAAGCCATCAGTATACAATTCATGACTCCAGTTTCACATAGCGGAAAAAAAGGATGCTGTCATTGTTGCTGTCCTTTGCAGACTAAGGTTGGTACGTAACAGCAGGTGCCTTTGAAAGAAATGTTGGCGCTTGTAAAGGCAGACTGCCCAAAACTGCATCTTTTTTTATTTAGGGAAAGGCCATTGTTTCTTTTGTTGCCACTCTGTCAGGGGAAATCTTTGTAGAAGAGCTCAGGCAGATTAAATGGCACAAAAGGTTTAAGAAACATGACCATGCTTGAGTTCATGGACATTACAGGTCAGTGGTCATATTTAAATATACTCATAGTCGAATACTGTCCTCCTGATTATCTAAACCTAGCAATCCTGAAACTGTAAGATAATCTTCAGCTTTAATATTGTTTTAGTTGGTGTTTGAGTTTTTGGGGTTTTTTTAAATTATTATTTCTTTCATGTTTCAATGCATAGGAGTATTAAAAACTTTTAATATTTTTTATGCACAGTCTTAGTAATAGTTAACAGTCATGGTGAAGCAGATGAAAAAAGAAAGTAGCCTGAAAGAGTTAGTTCTAGGAATCTCTAGTGCCAAATATTACAGAGGCTCCTTTTGTTTTTATGTTGAAATTTTGGAAACAAGGTAATGTACATGTCTAGTTACAGTATCTATCCATTTTGTGGAGATTTGGGGTTTACTCCTGTGTTGAAGCTGATGTCTCTAAGCAAGATTCAAGGTAATTATTACTTCTACATGCT